CTGCCCGGGAAACCGTTCCTGGCACAAGCCCTTGGCTTCCCCAGCAGCCAGGCATCTAGTTCCCACAGTCAAATATCACAGCTTGAAACTGGTTATTATTTTTTCTCTTTTTTTTTCCCTTTTTTTTCTTTTTCTTTTTTCTTTTTTCTTTTTTCTTTTTTCTTTTTTCTTTTTTCTTTTTTTCCTTTTCTGTTTTTTCTTTTTTCCTTTTTTCTTTTTTTCTTTTTTCTTTTTTTTCTTCTTTTTTCTTTTTTTTTTCTTTTTTAAAAATTTTTTTAAACTTTTTTCCAAAAGCTGCATTAAAAAGGAACCAATCTAAACCTTTCTGGCCCTTTTGAGAGGATGATGCACATTAAGTCAAACCTCCCCAGTGAAGAAGGGCCTTTCTGAGCCCCCCCCGAACCACGTTCCCCTCCTCCCCAGGGCAGGATTTGGACCTGAAGTGAGGGTCAGCCTCTGGAGACTAATGCACCGAAGGACGGGGACAGACACACCTCTTCTCCTCTTCCTCCCCAGTGTTCCCTCTTGGAGTGGCAGCAGAAACGGGGCCGACAAAAGTGGTGCGTGAAAGATTCATGCAAGATAGAGGGATGGAGGGGAAAGGAGAGAAGAAGAGATGGAAGAAGGTTGTTAGAGAGACGGAAGAAAGAGAAAAAGAGGAGTTTAGTTCTGGTTCCTTCGCCCCCATCCCCTGCCCTCCCCACCGAGAGGAGAAAATCCTCCCCAGCTCTCACCGCAGCCCCGGGAGGACACAGCCCTGGCCACCCCACAGAGAAGGTCACAACCCTGTCACCGTGTCCCCTCCAGACGCCTGCCACAGCCACGCAGTGTCCCCAGCGTTTCAAACCCAGACCTCCTGCCAGGGATTTTAATCCTCAGCCCAGCAAGCAGCATCCCAGTTCACCCAGTGGCTCCCATTATCCTCTCCAGAGGACTAAAGGGGGGGTCACCAGACCTCCCAGCCCCCCTGAGATACTCTGAACACTCCAGGCTGCCGCTCCCCACGCTCGCTCGTTAGTCGGGCTCGTTTCTGCAGCAGCCTCAGCCATCAGATTAATTGGGAAAGGCACTGGGAGCAGAGAGCAGCTGCTGGTGGCGTGTGTCCTTGGGAAACATTATCTGCTGCTAATTTGGGGCTTAATCAAAGCAAATGCAGTTACGGTTACATTACTGTTCAATAGGTGTTGTTTTTTTTTTTCCACTGGCTTGCTTGGAAAAAAAGCAAAGCAATCAAGGAGAAAGCAGAGATTGATCGGTGCGCTGCGGCTGGCAGAGCATCCCGTGGCAGGAGCCAGCACTGCCGTGGCATGGCTCAGGTTTTGGGGAGGATGCAGGAGGGCTGGCAGCGCCAAGAATTGCTGGCACTGCTCAGAACAGGGGCTGTTCAAATGCCCCAAGAGCTCCAAGACTCAAAGCCCTGCACAGACACAGGACAGTCCAGCTTCGGAGGGGTAAAACTGCTGTCGAGAGAGGAGTGAATTGCTCAAACCCTTGCAGCAGGTCCATGGTGGAGTAAGAGATGGGCACAAGCCTGGCGAGCATCTCACCCCACCTTGCACCCCATGGGGTCCCCATGCCCAGAAGCTCCCTGTGCACATCTACCCTCCAAAACGAGCAGCCCCTTCCCTTTGCGGGGTTTATCCTGATCCTCCCAGCCCTTGGGTCCGACCATGCTGCCACCCCCAGCTCTCATCCTTGCTGGCTGCCTGGGGTCGGTCCCCACACTGCCAGCACTGCCACAGCCCTCCTGGGGACAGCCAGACCCAGGGCATCCCCTCCCCGCCGCTGCACCTCCCCGAAGTGCTGCACCAAGCACCTTTTCCCAGATCTGTTTGCAAACTAAGCACCAACAGCCTGAATCCTGGCTGGATTTTCTGCACATGCCTCTAGGGTTTGTAAAAACGATGCAAAATGAGCAAGAAAACCTTCCTGCTCGCAAATCCCTACGCGGATGCACATTGCCTCCCTGCTCCCAGACCCCAGGGGGATGCTCATCTATCCGGCTGAGGAGAGGGATTATTTCCCTTTGCTTTGCAGTCAGGGGTGGGAAGCGGAGTGTTTCCCCGTGATGGGTGATGCTTAGGGCCATTGGGAGCAGAAGGGAACATGGGGGGGCTGGAGGGGACACGGCGTCACCTCCCGTGGGGACATGTCCTACCTGGTGGTGGGGGACCGCTTCCTGCGCTCGCAGTGCACGGCGTCAAAGAAGGCGGCGTTCCAAAACCGCAGGTTGTGCCTGCAGGGAGGGAGGGAGATGTTGGGGACAGCCACCACCCCATCCCCCAGCCTGTCCCCAAGTCCTCCCAGGGTCAAGTTCACCCGCTTCAAGGAAGGGGCTGAGCAATTCTGGCAGATTTAGTCCATTTTTGGGCCAGGTCCTTGTGTGTCTGCAAACACACTCTCACTAGCACAAGGGATGTGCAAAAGCCATGGACGCTTCTTTACGGGTGGCAGCAGCTTCAAAGCATCCATGAAAATCTGGGGAAGGTGGGGACAAGGAGGACAAATCCCCTCCCCAGGGATGCCAACGCCAGGAAGGAGGCAGCTCACCCCGTGCAGGCTTTACCAGATCGGCTGCTGCTTGAGGTGCATGTACAGGTAGATCTTCTCTCCTTTCTTCTCCTCCTCTGGGCTCTGCACGGACACTGCGGGGACACACAGTTACACGCCGAGGTCTGGGTGACCCCCACCGCCCCACCCGTGTGCAGGATTTGTGCCCTGGTTCCAGGGTGGTGTCCAAGCAGCCGTGATGGCAAGGCTTCCAACCCAAACGCTCACCCCCAACACATCCTCGGCAAGACGAAGAGGAGCTTTGGGTGTCTTTTGTGGGCAGACATTAGCTCTGATCAAGGCATGGATGTCCCAGGAGGACACCTGAAGGACTGGACCACCCGTTTGGTAGCACACACAGCTACTGGGAGGGACTGGTGCAACAGGAAAGCTCAGAGGTGGTGGATGCTCAAACCTCTGCAGCTGTGCCACTGAGGACAAGATGCCACAAGATGTCCTTGCAGGACAAGAGCTGTGAAGGCTCCTTTGGAGCACTTCTCCAGGAGCTCAGAGACAGCGTTGGTCCTTCCTACTCTTCTCCCCACCCCACAGCTCCGGCAATGCCTCCATCTCGTACCACTTCCAACCCTCACTCCTTCCCCGTGCATGCCTTGACCATCCCTACTCCAGCAACGTTGGCTCCACTCACCTGTCTTCTTCAGCTTCTCCTTTGGTTTGTCCTCACCTTCCCTGTGGCACAGAAATCAGTGTCAGCTCCCGAAACAGCCTGTCCCCCTGACAGCCCATGCAGCAAAGCCCTGGCCCCCCCTGGCAAGGGGAGCACCTTCATTTGAAAGGCCCCTTGCTCCCATGCCACTGTCCCCAGGGCCAAAAAGGTGGCTAAGAGACTGTCATGTCCATCCCAGTTGGACCCAGTACAGAGATAATGCCAAAAACCACAAAGCAACAGCACCATCTCCTAGAACCATGTATCTCCATGTCCGGGGGACATAGGACTCGCAGACCACGAGATGACCAAAGGATGAAGCATGGGACCAGGCTGGAGACCATCTTCCCCTGGCCATGATAACCCCTGGCTCTAGGGGGCCCTGCACCCAGGACGTGTCTGGCTTGGTCACGTTGGGTCAGCCCACCCTGCCCACCCAATGGAGCAGTACCCACTCGCTCTTTTTGGTGGTGGGACCCTTCAGTTTGGTCTCCAGGCCCCCGAAGAAGCCCTTGACGTTCTCCGTCTTGGCTGAGGTGTTTTTCAGGAGCCGCTCTGCAATGTCCTTCTTCTCCGCCAGCCAGCTGTTTGCCGACTTCAGGTATGAGTCGATGCTGCCCATGGGCTTCTCCTTGGACTCTGAGGGCAGCGCGTGGGTCTTGCCTGTGGGCAAGGTGGCAGGAGCTCAGCTGGTCCCATGGTCCTGGGTGCTGCCAGCTCCTTGGGACCTGCTCCCAGCTACAAGATGCACCAAAGACGGGACCCCATCCCATCCCAATTCCCGTAGGTCTTTATCCTCTCCCCCATTTTGGATAGAAAATGCAGCCCGCCCATAAAGGAGCAACCACCACACACCAAACAACAAACGAAGGTGCTTCTGAGAGCCCCCCCCATAAAGGAGCAACCCCCACACACCAAACAACAAACCAAGGTGCTTCTGGGCTGGGGCATTCACATCCCATCCCCAGGGTTGGGGAGCATCTGGGTATCACCCCACAGAACCATCCCTGGCTAGAAGCAAGGACAAACCAGCACCAGCATGAGCCACCACCCCAGCGAGGGTCTCCAGCAGGTTTTCACGGCTCCTCAGCCATGGAGGCTCATTTCTGCTCAATATTGGGGTCAGCCAGAGCAAGCCAAGCTGGGGAACCCATCCATCACCCTTTCCGTGCACAGGGCTTCACCGCTGGTCTCCAGCACCAGCAAAGCCCGAGGGTGCAGGCACCTCTTACCCACGTAGTAGTAGGTGAAACACATGGTCATGAGGTTCTTGGCAGGGCTGAAGTCATCCATCTGGTGACACCTGGAACAAAGGGAGGATTTGGTGACAACACCCAGTGACGGCAACCACAGCAGCCTCACGGTTGCTGCCCTTCCTCGACCCGCAGCTCTGATCTCAGGGGCTTTGGGTGGTTGCAACGAAGCCCCAAACCCCCCCTCAACTTACTCAAACAGCACGAGGGCGAAGGACTGCATCAGGCGGTAGAAGGTCTGCTCCGAGACGCACTTGGAGTTGCAGCGCTGCAGGCACAGAGCCCAGGGGTTAGCACAGCTGGGCACGGGCAACCGCAGCCCCCCTGGGACCCCCACCGTGGGAAGGTGGGCAGAGAGCAGGGGCAGTCGGGTCTCCCTCTCAGAGACAGCGGTTTGCCTCTCTGGATTGTTTTTCTAGGGAATAGGATGTTCCCGAGCACTGATGGGATTTCATTTTAAATAAATCAGATTAATTCTCTCCCACACTGCAGCAAGCACGTATTTAACTGCCTCGAGATGAGTTTATTCACTTCTGTATCTACCTGTACTGAAGTTCCTCCCTTTTCCTAAGTTCCTGCCCTCCAAAATATATTCTCTGGGACATTGCTAAATTCCCCTGGCCCCAGCCTCCTGCCCAGCCTGCCCCAAAGCCCCAGTACAGGATCATCTCTCCAAAGCCCCGGTTTGGGATCGCCACTCCTTTGCCCATCTCTGCCCTTACCTGGGCGCTCACGTATCTCGCGAACCACTCCCTGCCCTTCCCGTTCTCGCCGCTGCACAGCTCCCCAAACCTGGCCTTCTCTTCTTGGTCCAAATCCTCTCTGAAATGGGGAAAAAAAAAAAAAAAGGCAGCAATGAAGTTAAGGATGTGTCCAGCATCCCCTACCCAGCCAGCGTGGCTCAGCTTCCCCCCCATCCCTCTCGGCAGCAGCATCCCGGTGCTGTGATGCTGGGAGGAAGGCAGAGGAAGAGGAGAAGGAGAGCACCCATTTTGTCCTCCTCCAGCTCACACTGCTCTTTTATTCCTCCCTGGCAGGGGAGAAACTGAAGGCAGAGGGAGAAGAGAAGAGCCAAGGACAGCCCGAGCAGAAGCTGAGCTCCAGAGACAGGCGCTCTGCCCCGGAGCGAAAACAACCCCTGGTGCTGCTCATCACGCCCGTTTTGCTCAATCCTGCTTGGCACCCCGAGCCGCAGCGTTACAGAGAGCACAGCGATGGGAGCTGGGGGGATGCAGGGCTGGGGGGGCAGAGCCAGGGGCTGCTGCGGGGCCTGGGGCACGTGCGAGCTGCTGGCGTTGGGCACAAGCAGCAGAGGAGATGCTCAAAGGGGGAGAGGAGCTGGAGACCCCCAGCAGAGTGAGACCGCCCCCCCCCCCC